CACACACACACACACACACACACACACACACACACACACACACACACTGCGCACGCTCCTTTCCCCCCTCCCCCCACCCCGCCTCCGGGCTCAGGGCCCAGGCTCTCAAGCCTTACAGCACATCTCCAGAGCTTTCTAATTAGTGTTCTGTGGGGTTTGGGGTTTTTATTTCCTTCGCCAGGCTGAACAGTCAAAAGAAGAGCAGAAGCAAGGTTTGAATGCGGAGAAACTGATGCGACAGGTCTCCAAGGACGTGTGCCGGCTCCGGGAGCAGAGCCGCAAGGTGCCTCGGCAGGTGCAGTCCTTCAGGTAATCTGCCCCGCCCGCGACACTTTGGGCTTGTCCCCGCGCCGTCTGAGTTATGCTGCAAGTCCGCGTTAGCCTACGAGACCCCAAATCCTCTCCTACCTTGTGAGCTTCGTTTGCTCCTTCGTGAGGTTACAGACTCCCCCGGCAGCGGCCCTGACCCGAGTCAAGCCCGGCTCCCAGGAACTTGGGGTGCCAGAAGCGGATGGCGCATCTCACTGAGAAAACACAGAAAGGCATAGGGCTTCTGGGCTTTTTGTTGTTCCTTGGGCCCCTCCTGGGCGCCCGCGCCATGCCGGGTCGGGGATACTCCCCGGGGGCTTGGGGCGTCTGGGGTGCCCTGCGGCTGCCACCAGCCTGGATGGGAGAGCGGGGTGCTCCGTCTGCCCCCAGCACTGGACACACACACACACACATACACACACACACACACACACACACACCCTGCCTGCTTGTATGACCTGGAATCAGGGGCCCCGTGTTCCTTGGTCCTCTGATTTGTCAAGGGAAGTTCAAAATCAGGAGTCAAAAGTGGCCACTGATTCAGGGATGTGACAGCTCCGGCGTGAGCCGAAGAAACCCACTAGCGGCACGTGCTCCGTTGGGTTCTCCTTCTGGCCTTCAGTGACGTCTTGAGCTCGCCCCCTTCCCTGTAAGGATGCAAACCACAAAGAGAACTCTTGTGCCAGGGCCCGTAGTTCTGGGCCTCTCCCTTTCTTCTCTCTCCTTTCCTTAGTTTAGAGCTTTTCCACCTCCGCACTTGCTTCTTGACCCCACACTTCCTCCACCATCTACATGGACTCTTAGTTTCTCAAAGGAAGGCTGGTGCTTTTCTTTTTTCTCTATTCTTCTTTATCACTACCGGCGTGCCCTGCGTAACAGAACACATCCTCAGTAAATATGTGTGGATGGGGGTACTATGTATGATGTGAAGAATTTTGCACAAAAGTGAATATATTGCTCCTGTCTTTGGTAACTCTACAATCTTAAAACCTTATTATTATTTTTTTAATACTCTCCTAACCTCTGAAAGCTGTTCTGCCCGGTATTTCTCAGTGTCTCCCTTTTGGGTTGTTTCTCCTTATCCCTGCTTCGGGATTGGGGACAGATCTGCCTTTACTACAGGCACGTTCCTTCCTTCCCCTTCACTGGGACTCATGGGATCACTCAGCAAGCGTCCCTTCCCTGAGCATGGTATCGATTTTAAGGAAATTTTCCTGGTACCATGTACTTTTCTACACGGTCCCTGAGAAGTTCCCTGGGACTTCGGACTTCTTGCATCCTCTCCTGCCTCATTTAGAAGCACTCATAACTGACCCGCTGGGGGTTTAAAAACTGTCTGACGCTGGAAATCCAGGAAGGGGGAGATTAACCAGAGGCTGGAGCTACCATGCTCCTTTATATGCTTTCTATCCTCCCGTAAAGGGGGAAGATGGTCTTGATTTCATGGAGTTCTGCCTGAGGAAAAGACCTCCTGCGCAGGCTTGCAGACACTACGCTGTTCTTGGGACTCTTTTTAAAGGGCACAGAGTATTTTCAACATCATATTCAAGCCGGTTTATTTCTCACCCCTGCCTCTAGGGAGAAGATTGCCTACTTCACCAGAGCGAAGATAAGCATCCCGTCCCTGCCAGCTGATGATGTGTGATTACACCCCCTAAAGAAATTATTCTGTCACCTGTTCACTTCTTGGGGAGGGTACAAGACTGAACTTTGGTTTGGCTTGGTTTGGTTTTGGGGAGGGGGGTTCTTTTTGTAACGTAACTGTCAAACTCTTAAAGAGCTTTTGTTTCACATCAGATTTTCAACGTGTTAATTTGTAAAGTACCTTGAATGTAATTCTTGAATGTTTAAAAAAAGAAAAAATCAGATAACCCAAATGGAATAATCTGGTACACAAATGCTGTCCACTACATACGAATTGCCAGGAGGCTGTGTTTTGTACAAATGGAATTGGGGCAGCACCCGGTGTATGTCCTGTTGAACCAACTGTTGAGAAATAACTCGGTTCAGCAGACGGCGATCTTGGCTTTTCCTTCTTTGTCTCACGGGCAGACTGTGAGGATGGCAACGGGCCAACGTGGTATCTTCGTACCCGGGGGCGGCTCTTGGCGTTTGAAGGCAAATGTGAGTCCAGCCCTGAGTCCACCCGCAACAGATGCTGCGCTCACCCTGTGACCTGTGTTGGAGCACTTGCTTCCTTAAAACAAGTTCCTTTTTGTCCTTTTCTTTTAGTCTAAAAACCAGATGCTGAGTGAGAATCTCAGAGCACGGAGGAGCAGTGCTCCCGGCTATAGTGGAGACCTTGTGATTTGTCACATTAAGGGGGTGGGGAGAGAGGAGAAAGCCAGGTACCCTAACCACACCCAAGTCAGCCCCTCAGCGAGCACGGCCGGAACTTGCAGACGGGTCCCGGGGAGGTTCTGTCCGAGGTCTGAGCGTGGTGCCCGGGACGAGCCTGGGGCCGCCGGCCGTCTGGGGACAGACAGCGCCAGCCTCGTGGAGGGAAACGCGTGCGCACTCCTTTGGGGAGACAGGAATCTCGATTGGATCAAAGTGGCCACAAAAAAAATTTTTTTAAAAACTTTATTAAACAGATTTCTCACATTCACTAGAAATTATTTTGCAGCTCCCACGTTTAGGGGCTTCCCCTCTGTGGTCTGTGGTAAGGAGGCCAAGAGAAGGGTGTGCCTGGGGAGATTATCAATTTGAAGTATGGGCCAAGGCATTTGTCTCAGAAAACAATTCTAGACGAACTAAATGAAGAGAGAGGAACGGACTCAAGTGTCCTCCCCGTCCCCAGCCAGGCACGGCCTAAAAGAAAGAAATCTGCCGCATAGCTCTGCCAGCAAAAAGGTTTTTCAAATAAAGAGTATTTATGCAATTTAAATCCTACTTATCATTCAGTCACTTATAGTGGAAGAGGCGATTTTCGGTTAGCCATCTTCTGTAACGAAATCATTTTTTTTTTTTTTTTAGAAATGCAAAAATCACTTTAAAGAAAAAACCCCTTTAAAAAAAAAAAAAAAAAAAAAAAGGTTAGGTTCTATTTCTAAGATAGAATCCCCAGCAAGAATTTTTAGTTTCTTGAAAGTAATTATCCCTATTTTGCAAAGTTCATTTTATCAGCATCAAAATTCAAATTAAGCAGTTTCTGAGCCTGGAACTTTAATTATTTTTTCCTCAGTTGTCCCACCACTTATATCTAAATGTCTCTGAAGCTATAGCCGGATGTGACACGACTTCGAACAAAACCCAGCCTTGTGAATTGACTGCACACAGTCCTTCAGGGCCGCGCGGTTCATTCTGTCAGATGACTAAGGAGAACTAGAAAGACAGTACCATTCATCCTTGTCAAGGTCAAATGTGAAAGAGGTTTATTTAATGTAGAGCTAAGTGAAGGTCAGCTGTTTGCAGCTTCTTAGTTTGACCGTGAAAATGTTTATAGAATTATGTGTAGTTGTGCCGTACGATTTTATTTTCTTCATTTATTTATTTACGGTCTTATTTATGTTCTGTTTAATATATAGTTCGGTTCTGGCCATTTTAAATGTTTGACATAGAAGAGGTTATATTGGAATATCTACACCTTTATAAATCTTCATCAGATTCGCTGTTAACTTTTTGTAATACAAAAAGTTTCAGACAAGTATAAAAGAATAAAATCTGTCTCAGGCTGGTAGTTAACAGTTGTGACCAAGACACTTTGGGTTTTATGTTACAAAATTTGCTCATTTCTAACATGAGAAACAAACTTATTTTAATATAATCCTTCTCCACACTTTAAAAATCAGCAATAGTGTTATGTATTTATAGGCAGCTTTTAACAATTCTGTCATATTTGTACTAACCCAAATGATTCACAGTGACAAAACATTTTAATAACTTGATCACAAAACCATATGAACAATACGAATTTTAATATTATAAATACTATTTTTTAAAGGTAGAATTTATTCTGCACAGGGTAAAAAGAATGTAATATTTAGTTCTCAAGTTTGAATTATCAGTATGTTATTATAATTTTGTATATCAGAATCTAAGTTACAGGTACAAAAAAAAATATTGCTAGCCAAATGAACAAAGTTTAGCTGAATCTCTGTAGCCGGCAAATCAAATTTAAAATCTTTTTTTTTTTTGCTATTACTTTATCTATATTGTATTAAATATCAAAAGCTCAGGACTGAACTAAATATTTAATCAGGTTAAATTCTGAATATGTTTCTGTTTTAATTGTCTCGTCTGTAAAAGTATGCAAATACATCACATAGATTAACTTTGGTTTCTGCACTTTTCCTGTGTTTGTGGGTGGAAAAAAGGTCAGTGGGTTTGTTGTTTGTTTCTTTTTTTAAACAAAGATGCATATTGCCTCATACTTAATTTCAGTGTTGTTTACTGTTCAATTTCCCTGATTGGTGCCAACAAGAGTTTACTCGAGCAAATACCAAATCCATCATCAGAACTTCCCAAGCCAGCCATTTGCTGGGAATGGTTCTGGGTTGGGCAATATGTATTGCTGATAGAAAAGACGGCGTATTTTTATCATGCGAGTAAAAGAAAGGGTCTCCAAGGTGAGCCCATCCCGGCCTTGTGCTCTGGGAGTGGGGCAGGGGTCCCAGGAGCTTGACCTGCAGCGCCCCCCATGGCTGCTCCTCAGAGCCCCGAGGCAGCTGCGGCTGACAGTAGGCATCTGCCATCTACCACAGAGCACGGGGCACCCAAGCCAGAGCACACTTGGGGGGCCATATTTTACGTGAATCTCCCCAAACACCAGATTGCCACCCTCTGTTTCTACCCTGGTGAGGAAAGCATGAAGGAATGTGGCTGGCTTTTGGAAAAGGCTCCGTAGAGGCACTGAGGTCTCCAATTACAAAGGAGATGATGTGTCCCACATCTCTCTCCTCTCAAGCTTTTTCAAAGAACCAGCAATTTTTTAGTCTAATCTGATGATGTCCATTCCCAATAAATATGCAATAAGACTTTAGTTTCAATATAATAGGTGATCTTACACACTTGAAAGCAGTAAATGATTAGCAGGAACACTCCCAGTTGCCAAAATGATTCATCTCTATGAGTAACACCTTCGAAGATACGTAAGCCCTACCATAATGTTTTATTTACCAGCTCTGTGCAATCATTGGATCTATTTTAAAATTGAAAAAATTCATCCACAGTAATGAGTATGATTACTATTAAACCTTGAGTGGTTTTGGTCTCAGAATAGAAGATAAAAGTGTTTTTATTGTCTTAGAAGGATATTATAATTTAAGAAGCGAATAGCCACGGGGGGCGGGGATGCATTTTAGAAAATTAAAAACGCCAGTGAATGGGTGGCTGTGTAGCAGGAAATCCTACCAAACGCAGAGAGGAGTGAGCGTCTCAAAGAGTGGACACCGCTGACGCTTTTCTGGCTTAGGTTTTCAGATGGCTTTGTGCATCTCCCGGTGCTGACGGTGATACCGCGTTTCTGCCGCTGCCTGGTGGCCCGAAGCTGGGGCAGCCTGGGTGGAGCAGGCTGCCCAGTTCAGCAGGCACCCTCCCACGAGGAGGAAAAGCCCAGCAAACCAGCCCAGGAAGAGGGCTTCCCCAAACTCCCACCTGGGCACGATCTCTGGCACAGTCTCGTCCCAGAACTCCTGGACCGTCTTGTAGGCGACCCAGGACACCGGAGCCAGGGCTGAGAGGCCTGCCGACCAGAACAGAATCCCTCCCAGGATCAGCAGCCCCTTCTTGAGGCCCCGCCGCGTCTCTCCAGTCCTCAGGCAGTCCAGGCCAGACCCGGAGACCAGCAGGCCCAGGAGCCCCAGCCCGTTGGACAGGAACATGAGAATCCTGGAGATCCTGAGTTCGGCGGGCAAAGCCAGGAAGGAGTCGAAGGCCTTGCACTGCCTCCCCACTTCCTCTTGGATGACACAGGCCTGCCAGAGTCCCATGGTCCAGTTCTCCATTTCGTTTAAGTCCAGATTGAGGTTTTTCCACTGGGGCAGGTAGTTTGTAAGACAGGATAACACCCATCCCAGCAAAGATAGTGAGATCCCAGCGAATTGTGCCACAGCCCGAAATACTAAAGCCATCCCCGAGCCCCACAGAGCCTGAACCAAACCAACTCCTGCCTTTTGGCTGGTGTGCAGAGAAGTGTGACACCTTATGCTCTCACCTCAGAGCTCGGAAATATTTCTTCATTGTGTGTAAAGGATTCTTGCCAGAGTGCCTATTGTTTGAGTCTGTGTTAACTGGCTTTCAGGAAAGGACAGGGAAATAAGTCTGCCAACCGGCAACGCCGAGGTGTGGCCAAGCGCCATGCTCGCGTCCTCGCGGCTGACCGTGGTCGCGGTTTGTCTCTGAAATCACACCAGGCAGTACTCATCCTCCTGTCACTGTTAACGTATAGATGGCTTTCAGGCTGTTCCCAACCTTTCTAACAACTCAAAAGAATTAAGAAGTCTAAATGCAACCTGCTTAGTCGGCAGTTTGGGTTCAGCTCCAAGGCTTTCTATCTCACTAATTGCACCTGTCACATTGCCATGTGTTACCACTCTCGGATTTCAGTACGGACCTCGCAGTAATACTGAATGTGGTCCCCTTTTAAAAGGTTCAAGAAAAATATTTCTTACCCAGATAAATGGATCTTAATTCGGAAATCTCTCTAGACCTTCAGTCGGGTCTGTCTTTTTTTTTTTAAGACCCTGGAGCTACCTATACGACATAACACGTGAAACCATTCAGAGCCCTAAATCTCAAGTCTACTTACCTCCCTGCCTTTCTGTCAAATTCATGCACCTGTGCATGCACACTGTTTGTTTTCTTTGCTTAAATATGCTCTCTATGTTGTGGGAAAGTTAAGCAATAGGACTTTGTAGGTCGGAATGAACATCTCTGTCGGTTCACCACTAAAGTAAATAGCCCCATGCTGATCATTTTTAATGGAACAAAGGAAAGTTTGTATTAGGGCAAGTGGGAACTGTCAATGTCTGGACATCAAGCACAAAACATTTTTGGAATTGTTCATCTTTTTTTGATTTGAAACTTTTGAAGGAAGAGACAAGAGAGGTCGAGACCGGCCAGTATTTTGAGTGTGAGAGTACCATAAAGTACTGAAAACCGTCGGCCTCATCCAGTTCTGTCACACAGCATGCCTGTTAATGTCCTAAACACAAACTGTCTCTGTTCAAAGAAGACCAAAGTCATTGTTGTGGAAATAACACTTCAGGATAGGCTGAACATGTGCTGTGGCTAATGTAGAATGTTTAAAGGATTTCAGGTTGGGTTTTCCTTTAGGAAGTAGAAACTAATTATTTCCAGCTACCAATAAAAACAAAAAAGTTTCTAACATAAAGTTAACACATTAAAACTTAACACTGATTACAATGGACAACCACCACCACATTTTGATTTAAATAACCAGATCGATGAAATTATTTTTGCCCATACCTATGTAATGCTTACCACGATAATTTTCTTTTAGATATAAGACTTGCCTCTTTCTTACCTCTCCAGATTTGGGGGGGCAGGGGAGATCTAGAATAGAAAAGTAGGTATTTAATGAGAACGTGTGAGCAGCACGGATTTAGTCACATAACAAAGACCCCTTTCTAGCGTAGAGCCCACATCACAGTTGATGTGGAAAGATGCGTCTCTCTGGTCCCGTCCGAGTCTTACGTTCTCAGGTCTGTGGTTCCGTTTTCCAGGTATGGCCCCTGAGTTAGCGTTTCTGCCGCTGCTTGGTGGCCCGAAGCTGGGGCAGCCTGGGTGGAGCAGGCTGCCCAGTTCAGCAGGCACCCTCCCACGAGGAGGAAAAGCCCAGCAAACCAGCCCAGGAAGAGGGCTTCCCCAAACTCCCACCTGGGCACGATCTCTGGCACAGTCTCGTCCCAGAACTCCTGGACCGTCTTGTAGGCGACCCAGGACACCGGAGCCAGGGCTGAGAGGCCTGCCGACCAGAACAGAATCCCTCCCAGGATCAGCAGCCCCTTCTTGAGGCCCCGCCGCGTCTCTCCAGTCCTCAGGCAGTCCAGGCCAGACCCGGAGACCAGCAGGCCCAGGAGCCCCAGCCCGTTGGACAGGAACATGAGAATCCTGGAGATCCTGAGTTCGGCGGGCAAAGCCAGGAAGGAGTCGAAGGCCTTGCACTGCCTCCCCACTTCCTCTTGGATGACACAGGCCTGCCAGAGTCCCATGGTCCAGTTCTCCATTTCGTTTAAGTCCAGATTGAGGTTTTTCCACTGTGGCAAATAAGTTGTGATCATGGACAAAACCCATCCCAGCAAAGACAGTAAAAGTCCAACAAATTGCATTGCTACTCTAAAGACGAAAGCCATTCTAACAGATCTTACTACGTGGGCCACTGTCGTCCGTGGTTGACAGGAGTGTGACGATCTTGGTCCTATGTTGCCTGGAATATAAGCTTTGGCCATTAACTCTTTGGAAGCTCTGAAATGCGTTTTTGTTCTTCTCGAATATAATGTTTCATGTAAAGGACGAAGGACCCTGTTAAAACTATGAGTTAGGCTCTCTGATAAGGATTTGATCTGTTACGTTCCCATTTGCTTGGTAAAATTATATCCCCAATGCTTGATGATTATAAGTCTAAGGATGAACAAAGAGGGCTCTATGACCCCTCACCCTAAAATACAACAGAAATCTTTGTGCTTCAATATGGATTAATTAGATTTTAAGTGGTGATAAAAGGCCAGCCCTTTCGGCAACAGGACTTCATTGTAGTAGCTGAGTCTGAGATTTCAGGGATGCAAAACAAGACCTTGTAAAGAAAGGTAGACTGTTTCCCTATAATCTTTATTCTTCTCGGACTTCCTTAACCTACACAAGAGCCCGGGCCCAGTTCTTGAGTGTCACAGGCACTCAGTGGGGACTTGGCAGAAAAGTTGCCTCAGATTCCTTTGAAAGGTGGAGGCTGGTTCACTGGGTTCATTCAAATGAAAAAGACCCAAGACAGATGCCCAGAGGTGCTAAGTGAGGAGGGGAGAATCCCAGGCAGCTCTGGATTTCATTCTAAGATTTTTCTCCATCCTCGTTGAGGACCTGGGGTAACGCATGATTTCTTAGCATCTGCGAGGCATTTTTTTTGTTCACAGCTCAGCTGTCTTTGCTGTCCGTGAAGCCGCACAGACAAAGCAAGGCCAGGCCGGAAGACGACTCCTGGCAGGTCCAAGACAAAGGTTTGGGTGTGGAGACAACAGCCACAAGAGGGCTGGCCTTGGAGGCGTCATCTTGTTTGTTCTTTTGATTTGGGCCACACCCTGACAGCAT